GTGCCTTGGCTGAGGATCTACATTTTATACCCTTCTGATTGTGAACTCCTCTCCCCTTTTTTGGGGGTCCATAATGGGGATGCCAGAAATGGAATCTGCACCCAACTTGGAGAAACTGTAGAGGAGCAGACAGGAGGGTGAGGTTCCCTGTGCATTTGGTGTGTAGCTTGCCGGGGGTCCATTCTATATACTTTTGAACCTGTGCCTGACATTTTCCCTGAATGCAGTTTTCTGGCCTGACCTTAGTCCTGTTGGGTTTGCACTGCCATAATGGCACTAGTACTGCTGGGCCTATTGCACTGGTTCTGCTAGTTTGCAAAAATGCGCCCCCCCTTCAGTTTCTACTACAGAGATTCTCTGGGTTGACCTTGGTCCTGTTGAGTTTGCACTGCCACAGTACCACCGATTCCGCTGGGCACATTGCACTGGTTCCATTGGGCTTCTATTGCTCTTGCTTTATTTGCTGGTCCCCCCCCTCCATTGAATACCATGGAGGATGGGAGCATCTTCTTTGGGGCCATAACTTCAATCCTGTAAATCCAATCCTCACCAAACTTGTTAGGCAGGTAGAGGAGAGTCAGCTGGAGACCCCCTGTGAGTCTGATGTATCTAGCTTGCACAGTGGTCACAGCTCTGGGCTCAAGACAGTTCAATGCATCATCAACAACTTACAACCTCTACTGGATAATGACAGTTCACTTTCACAAGTACTGGGGGGCAAACCTTTACTTGCACATAACTTCAAACAACTCCTCACCCACAATAATGCAATATCCCCAATATGGGGATAAGTGGGTTTGCCTTGCAGTGTCTGATCTTCTTTCTCCAAGGTCGGGGATCGAGGGTGGCACTTGGGGGGGGGGGGGATTATCTCAGCGACACCTGCTAGAATGTGGTGTGCCACAGGGGTCGATTCTCTCCTCAGTGCTGTTTAATATCTACATGCACCCCTTCACCCACTTTATCTGGAGGTATGGGCTAGGTTGTTGCCAATCTGCAGACTACACCCAGCTCTGTCTACTGATGGATGGCCACCTGGACTCTTCCCCAGAAAATCTGAACAGGACATTCCAAGCTTTGGCTGGATGGCTGCAACAGAGCAGACTCAAATTGAATCCATTGAAGACGGAGGTCCTGTACTGGGTTGTGGGGGGTTGGGGATTGGGCTTCTAATCTTTGATAGGGCCCTATTGGTGCTGGCGTCGAGGTGAAGAGCCTGGGGGGGGGGGATTCCTGGATGCCTCACTAACTATGGAGGCCTGGGTCTCCACCACTGCCAGGTCACTTCCAGATTGGATTATTGTAATTCTCTCTATGTGGGGCTGCCCTTGATTCTGCTCCAGAAGCTGCAGCTGGTGCAGAACACAGCGGCATAGGTGTTGACTTTGTAGTCTGTGCAGACGTGGAACCACCAGGTGCTGTGTGAACTGCACTGACTGCCTATTGAGTACCGGATCCGTTTCAAGGGGTTGGCGCTTACCTTTAAAGCCCTATACAGCTGGGGACCTGCATATCTGCAAGACTGCCTCTCCCTCTATGAGCCCCAAAGGGCTTTACGATCTGCCAACCAACATCTTCTGGTGGTCCCCGGCCCCAGGGACATCCATTTAGCCTCGACTAGGGCCAGGGCCTTTTCAACCCTGGCCCCTACTTGGTAGAATGAGCTCCCATATGAGATCAGGGCCCTATGGGACCTTTTACAATTCCGCAGGGCCTGCAAGACGGAGCTCTTCCGCCAGGATTTTAGTTATGGTGGTGGACATCCCTCCTCTCTAATTGGGCCTCTCCTCAGTGTGTCAGACCTGCATTACCATCCAAGGACTAAAACCTGAAATAGATGGCATCTTTGAGCCTTTAACTATGACTTGTACCAGAGGAATGTTGTTTTATTTTATTGGCATTTTAACGGTTTAAATTCTTTGTATGCTGTATATTGTTTATGTCTGATGGAACCCGTCCTGAGCCTGCTATCCGGGGAGGGCGGGATATAAATCCAATACTGTTTTTATCTACTGTTGTTTATTGGACTGTTTTAATGTAGTTGGATGAGATTGCATATTACTTGTTGTAAGCTGCCCTGAGCCCTACTTGTAGGGAAGGGCGGCCTAGTAAATCTAACTTAATTAATTAATTGATTAATTAATTAATTAATTAGAACATGGACACTGGGACCAGAACTTGCAATAAACCCAGATGCCAATTTTGCTGCCACATACACCCAGACAATACAATCATCGGACCTAACAACATCATCTATACCATCAGAGGCTCATTCACTTGCTCATCTTCCAACATTGTATATGCCATTAAATGCCAACAATGCCAATCAGTTCTCTACACAGGACAAACAGGACAAGCCCTACGCCAGAGGATAAATGGACATAAATCTGACATCAGGAATCATAAGACTGAGAAACCTGTAGAAGAACACTTCAACCTTCCAGGACATTCAATGGGTGACCTCAAATTAGCTATTTTATTACAAAGGAGCTTCAGGAGCAGAATGGAAAAGGAAATTGCTGAGTTAAAAGTTATTACAACACTTGGAACAAGAAGCTCCCCAGGACTCAACAGGGTTATTGGTTTCTTATCTCATTATATATGCTAACTCATTCAGTCCTCACATACGTATTCTCAACAAGAAGGACTATACCTCCTCTGTATCTTAGTGTGTTTCTTTTTCAGAATAGTATATTAGAATATTAAATGTAATGCAAGGAATATTGGAATGTTTTGCTGACATACCACTGCCCCCACCTCAAAAAAGAAAGGAAAAAATGCTGTTAAGTTACCTCCATGCCTGAAGTGAGATGAATGGGGAATCTCAGTTTACTTCCCACAATTAGAAAAGATGCCTTTACACATTTATACCCTATTTTGACATATATCGTTTTACTGTCCTTCCCCCTCTTAATTAAATCAAAACAACTGTTGACCTTATAACCTTAACTTGTTATTTAGTTTTGTCTTTGCATATCTTAAAACATCTCCATCATGTTACATGTTAATTTGCTGTTCAGCTTTTGTCTATAAGTTTGAACCTTACCTTCCGTTCCAATGATTTGAAAAAATGTGCATGCACACAAACACTCATACCCCGAATAAACCTTTTTTTGTCTTAAAGGTGCCCCTTGACTCTAAATTTGTTCTACTCCTGTGCCTGTCATTTCCCCCAGAAAGCACTTTCCTGGGGGCACCTTCTTTGGGGGGAGGGTCATAACTCAGACCCTGTAAATCCAATCTCCACCAAACTTGGTGGGCAGGTAGAGGAGAGTCAGCCAGAGATCCTCTTTGAGTTTGGTGTCTCTAGCTTGGCAGTGGGGCATTCTTACACATCATGAACCTCATGAACCTCACGAACCTCCCAAGTTTGTTTAACGCCTAAAAGTTCATTTTCCAGGTTTGTGCACATCCATACCTATGGCACTAGTAAATTAGGGTAAGGAGTTTTAGTCTTTCTGCTAATGGCCTAGTGTTGCGGACCGCATATATTTAGACATGTGAATGCTCCACAAATATTACAAGAAAGATTGAACTGCCCCACAGTGGAAACTAAGGATCATTTCATACAGCACAATAGAAGATGGATCTTTTGGTCTGAGAACCAATGGAGTCCAAGTACACTTGCCCGATGATTTTGTCAGCTGCTTTTGTGGATAAGTCCCTAACTTCCTGTTTGATAGAATCTTGGCCATTTCAAAGAGTGAATGTTTGTCTAGGGAACAAAAGTCAAACTGACAAACATTTTCTAATGAACTTTTGGGAAATATGGAAAAGACAGCATATTCAAGGTGCATATGGATTAGAAATTAAATGTGGAGTAACGTGGATGAACATATACATGTGTTCTTTGTTCGTGTATGCTTTTAGACAAGCAGATGGGAAGCCCTGAAAAGTAATATAGTGCTGGTCTCTGCAATTTGTATTAAGTAAATAAAGAGAGGAATGATACTTGAATGATAGTCTCCTTATGGATATCTTCTCTCTTAATGGCATTAAGGAAAGGCAGACTGCTTTCTGTAGGGATTAGATGTTGTGTTTAATAAAGACCCAAATGCTTTGAATCAACTACAAGACATTTGACTTAAATGATGGAGCACCTCCTTATTTCTTTTTGATAGATACTGGGGAAACTGTTAAATCTCTTTTATAGAAGACCCAAGCTGTTTTATAGTATAGTTTAAGATTAAACAGATGTCTGCTATGGGCAAGTGGATTGTGTTTGAATAATTTCTTCAGACTCAGTTGTTGAGATGTATATTAAGGTTCCAGTTGTCTTGTTATAAGGTACCTCTGATGCGCTCTGGAATTTTTTTAAATTAGATAGTGTTCTCATTTCTGGATGCTATTTGAGCTCCATACACAAGACTTAAAGGAATATATACAGGTCTTTCTGAGAGTAATTTGAAAATATTTGGGTTGGTTTTAGAGATAAGCATGGATGGTGATAAAATAATTGTCATTTGTTTACTGATTGATATGCTTGACAAAATCTGTCTTGAACTTTTTCTATAGAACATTGATAGAGAAATTATTTCATGAATGTGTGGAAGTATCTGAGGCATCAACCAGCCATGCAGAAACCTCAGTAATTTCAACAGAAAAAGCAGTGTGTGCTGAAATCTCTCCTGTTGGAATCTTTAAACTTAAACATTTTGACTTTTGTACTAGTATCCTAGGTTCTAAACTGTTGTATATAGCATTGGATACGAAAGAGTGATTGATGAACGTATCTAACTATACTGTTACTCTAACAGAATGTTGTTTCCATTTGTGGGAAAGGGGGTGGTAAATTTCCACTGATTGCTCCTCTCACCACTGATCCCCACTTTGCCACTATTCTATTCCTACGGATATGCTGACCACCCCCCCCCCGATAATTTTTGGGTCAATATAGTAAGCTACAGCAGCACTAGCCCAAGACTGAATTCAAACTGTTTTTGTTACTTGTGCGAAACATTGACTGTTGTTCTTCATATGTTATTTTTCTTCTTGTACAGAAACAAAGTCAGAGAAAGAATCGAGCTGTTCACCAGCAGCTCAGGAACTGATGACGAGACTGGGATTTCTACTTGGAGAAGGCATCCCAACCTCTGCCCATATCTCTGTAGAAGAAAAACATGAAACTATGGTATGCTTGAAGAAGTAGTTATAAATAGCAATTTGTGATGCCAGTAGCTTCACTGCTTTCAAAATATTTAATAACAAACACACCAGTATATGGTAACACTTCCTTATAGAAATATATATACACTTAACTTTTGTAGAGAGCACTGAAAATAAATAAAGCTGTGACTTGATCTTCTGTTCCTTACAAGGAAATAGTATAAAACTTAACTGGATAGAATTATGAGAAGACCACTGCTTTTAAAATGATGCTTAAAGTAACTGGAAGGATTTTTAGAAACACGCTTTTGGGTATTTATTTATGCCCCCTGTTGCTCTCAGTGCCAAAGAAATGGCCACAGATAAATTAAGGATTTGGTATCTCACATGGTTGACCAGATTATTTGCTTTTACTTTTAAGGTTAGAGTTGACTGGCAATCCAGGTCTTTTTGCCTCCTTGAATAGAAATTAATGGAGATAGCTCACTTGCTTTTTGAGTGAGTGTACCACAGGCATTTCTGCTTACAGCAGGGGTCCCCTGCCTTGGAGCACTTTTGGAATTTTGAGATCAGGTAGTTGATGCCGCAACAAAATGCCTGCTAGAGGGCAGGGACCAATCACAAAATGGCTGCCACAAGGGCCAGGTCAAATAACAGGAAATTAACAGGCTCCAAGCCAAACCTCTTCCTGTGATGAAAGCATCTGTTTTCAAATAGGTGAGTCCTGTCGGCACAAAGATGATGCCTCCTGGGCTCTTCTGAAGCACCTTCTGTTGCTCTGAAGTGGAGGAAAACCAGGACTATTTCTTTGCTTTGCACTGGGAAACACATCAGTGGGAACCACGTACCTGTGGGCATCATGTTGGGGATTGATGGATGGAGGTTCATATTGGTTGGCTTCCAGGACACAAGGGCTGAGCAAGTAATTTGGCTAATGTCTTGGGGAAGATACACTTTATTGTAAGCAAAATAATGGAGTAGATGGTCTGTATTTCTTTTCTGTTTTGGAACAATTCAAAGTATTTGTGAACAAAACATTCTAAATCATATTTGTGCATGCCTTCCCTTTGGAATAACTAATGAAACATAGTCTGCATTTGACAACCATCCTGAATAGACTCCTTTTTGCATCGCTGCCTCTCGGCATGATGGTATTTTCCTCTGCCAATTTCTTGCCTGAGAAATAAGACACTGGTTTGGATCCCACAAAGCATTACCGTGTGCACAGCAGCCCTTGTAGAAATGGAAGCACTAAAAATAAACTTGTCAGGCAGCTTGCTCTAAGTTGAAACTGTTTGATCTAAACTTTCCCTCGTGCATAAGGCATAGCACTACTTCTTTTCATTGTGTCAGTACCGTGATGAAGCCTTGCACTATTGCTTCTGCTAACAGATCAGCACTAAGTAGATTTTCCTTTCTGCTCACCCTTTGTTGGATCCATCCCACTTGAATCTCCAGGCTGTTGGATACAGTAGTAATTCCCCCCCCCCTCCTTTAAGGGTCTCAAGAAACCCTTTTTGGAAACATTCTCGGAATGGTTTGTGTGTGTGTTTAGGTTTGTTTGTTTTTTCTTTAATATTAATCATCTTCATCACAGCTAGAGATGCTAATGCTCTGTGCATTAATTATTTGTTTCACTTCATGCTTGTAGTGCACAGTAGTTAGTCAAGGAGTCAGTCCCTGTTCTACGCTAACTAGCAGCACGACATCACCTAGCACCGATAGTCCCTGCTCAACTCTGAATAGCTGTGCTGGCAAACCAGCAGCCAACAGAGGTAGTCCCTGTGGGACCATTAGCAGCCCAAGCTCCACATTGGAAAGCAAGGACAGTGGTATTATAGGTAAGTAGTATTATTTCCTACTCATGCAGCGACTTACAGCTATCTCTTTGTAGCTTGCTTTCCTGCATCAGCAGGTGGGCCAGTATAAGACCACAAGGGGTGTGTAGAGCTACAGCTCTCCTGTTGGATTCTCATTAGTACTTGGCTCCAATTCTAAAACTCCATGCTCCAAAAATTTTAAAGTGTTCTTCCACTGAAATAAGTATGTCATTCTCATTGTTCCTTTTCTCCTATTTCAGTACATTGTGTCATGACCAAACTTTCTTTTAATGCAAGGTGTTAAGATGGTGGTAGTTTTTCCAGGTGATGGAGGAAGATGGAAGGAAAACAGAATTTAATAGGCTGGAGAGAGAGAGAGAGAGAGAGAGAGAGAGAGAGAGAGAGAGAGAGTGTCATGCATCCTTAATTTCATGTGAAACTGTGGATTTATTAAATATATAGTGGCTGTAGTTTGGTTTACTGTGGTGCTAGCCTTAGCTCCTAGTTAACTGTGTATGAGGGGAAGAGGTCTGCGAGTGGAAGAGTGATTTCATTCCTTCTAAATTGGGGTTGCAAACTTTCATACAAACTATCATGCTCTGGAGGGTTAGGCAAAATGAATGCTTTAGGGCATTTGGAAGAAAAGTAGCAAGATATTTGGGATGATACGGATTTTGTGTGAGCAACCCACCTTCTGTTCTCAAGGGTATTATGGAAACACATAGGATGTTCTGTTGAGCAACATGGTTGATTAAAATTCAGCACTCCCTCCCACCCACTTCCCCACGAATCCTGAAAGATGGTAATGAATCTGACAGCTAGCCTGCACAGCATGCAGTGCAAACGTGTGCATAGGAGAGAAAATGGAATGGAAATCAGAATGAGCTTGCACAGCACTAAGTTATGTTTAGTCCATATATGTTGCTTATAGACCCAATCATTCTGTATTAATTTGGGGCACAGATTCCTCAGTAGCTTTTTGTGAGCGCAGCGTGAATGGCTGCAAATGCAAATGTATAAATAGTATTTAAATGCTCATTCAGTATAGAGTTTAGCGAGTATATCTTTTGTAACACTTTTGGCAGACTTTACCCAACCATGAAGATAGCTTGTTCTTCCATACTACTTAAGTAGACTTGCATTGTATTTCCATTCCTACTCTGTTATTCTGGGCCAGTAGGCCCTTTGAGCAGAAAACTGCTCTTCCCCTCCCTCGCCCACACTTTCAGCTGGCTCAGACTTCTTTCCTCATTTTTAGTGTTTTATTGCTTTAGTTGAAATTGTCTCTGCCTCTACTGACATAATAGAGTTGAGGGCAGATTTTCATCTTTTGGAGTGAGCTAAGTAAGAGAAAAGTCTGGGCTAGTGGCCAAAATCGGGGGGGGGGAGTAATTTGGCGAGATGCCTTCCTCTCAGTATGAGAAACTTGAGTGGAAATCTTCCCTGACCCTCTCCTCTCTCCCTCCCCCATTAGTAAATCAGAAGGGACATTTAGTTCATTATATATCGAAAGGTCGAGCTTTTTCTTTAATAATTCTGTTGCAACAAAGCACACTGTAGGAGCCCCTCAACTTTTGTCTTGTTTAGAGCCTTATAACCTTTACAAGTGTTTGAGATGTTAGTATCCTTAAAACAGGAGGTCGTGCGTAAATCATTTCTCATGAGACATTGATAGTTGCAACAAATAGTACACACTTGGTGGCTGTCCAGTATGCACGGTGTCTACTGAAACTACTCCAAGGTTGCTGTCAGTGGTTCAGATCTCTTTATTGGTGCTAAAGAACTTCACTAGTCCCCAGATTTTTTCCAGATACAAGTGCTGGTTTTGACTCTTAAGCTTGAACTGGGGAGGGGGCCGTGGCTCAGTGATAGAATATATGCTTTGCTTGCAGAAGATTTCAAGTTCAGTCCCTGGCATCTCCAGTTAAATGGACATGAAAGATTTCTACCTGAGATGCTGGAGGGCTGCTGCCAATCAGAGTAGAGAGCACTGACCTTGATAGACGAATGAGCTGGCTTAGTAGCCCAGTGCACACAACAGCTCTGTATGTTCACTTGAATGTACAGGCAGGGAGAATGGGAGTGAGTGTGCCTGCTGTGCCTCCATGCCATCGCTTGGTCATCTGTAGGGGCGACTGTGCATAGGAAATGGTCACACCAACTGTCTCTCCCCGTGGTCATCTGTTCTGTTTTTTTTAATATTGCTGACCACGGGGAAGGGAGCATTTGCATGGCTACTTCCTCAGCATGGCCATCCCTGTGGATGATCAGGCAGTCAGGTGGAGGCAGGAGCTGGGGCCAGTGTGCTTCCTCCTGCTCTTTCTCCCCATGCGTTCATTGAACATGTAGAGCTGTCGTATGCACCAGGCTAGTATTAGGCAGCTTCATGTGTGTTCAGACAGCTTGGTACCAGGATATATGGAAGGCTGTCTTCTCCCACTTGAACGTGCCTGCTCTCCAGTGGTCCTGGGTGGGGCAGTCTCTACTTTTGGGAGGAAACTTCTCCTATAGGGCAGGGCCGAAGATCTCACCACCCTTGGACCACCGAGAAGGAAGATTCACAGTGAGACAAATCTTCCGGTTTCTAAGATCAGTTTGAGTCCGTGCTCCAGGAGCCCCCATTTTCACAGTTTAGTAGGGTAGCAGGTGAAGGCTAGGACTTCAATGGCAAAAGTTTAATTTCCCCCCTTTCTGCTGTTATGTTAGGTATCTTGGGGGGTTATTGTTTAAATATGGTTATTGGAGTTATGCTTGGTTCAGTGCTCTATTAGCCTTCCTCAGATTTTTTTTAGGAGAGAAAGATGGATATAAATGTTTTAAATAAGTCAATTTGTCTTGAATGACCTTGCATCTCGTAGAACTGGTCACATAAGAGCACCTCATACCATCACATAAGAGATGCCAATGTTGGATCAGGCCAAAGGCCCATCCAGTCCAACACTCTGTATCACACAGTGGCCAAAAATACCAGGTACCATCAGGAGGTCCACCAGTGGGGCCAGGACATTAGAAGCCCTCCCATTGTTGACCCCCCCAAGCACCAAGAAGACAGAGCATCACTTGTCCCAGAGCCCCTATCTATACCTTGTGGCTAATAGCCACTGGTGGACCTCTGCTCCATATGTCTATCTAATTCCCTTTTGAAGGCGTCCATGCTTGTAGCCGCCACCACATCCTGTGGCAGTGAATTCCATGTGTTAATCACTCTTTGGGTGAATAAGTACTTCCTTTTATCCATTCTAACCCAACTGCTCAGCAATTTCATGGAGTGCCCACGAGTTCTTGTATTGTGAGAAAGGGAGAAAAGTACCTCTTTCTCTACCTGCTCTTTCCCATGCATAATCTTATAAACCTCAATCATGTCACCCAAACTGTATTCACCAGTATTCTGTTACTCGGAATTTATTGGTTTTCTTTCTTTTCTTTTGTTAGCAACAGTAACAAGTTCATCTGAAAATGATGACCGCAGTGGATCCAGTTTGGAATGGAGTAAAGATGGTAGTCTCAGAACTGGTTCACATCAAGGAATTATTCACGAACGAAGGACAGATAATTGTTCACCAGTTGCCGAAGAGGAGACAGTTGGCTGTTCAGAAACTCTGCCAAAAGTAGAAACATCTTCTGGAGAT